TATAAGGATACAATCATATCAGAGATTACACAAATCAAGGATCCAGTTATGTATATAATATATTCTCATTATGTATATGATATCTTCTCATTAACTCCATGTACGATACCCTAGCGTCTCTCTAAGTGTATAAAAACAGTCTAGAAGAATGTATAACATCATCTATTCAACAATCATCTATACATTACCTTATGCGTTATAAGCCGATGATGAGCGTTACACAGGCCTTGAAAACGTTTTCCGATGCCCGTCCTCCTGGGATATACAAACCAGATTACATTGATGCTCTATACAGTTTCTATCACGAAACTAAGCCTCAAAGTCTCGTTTGCCCAACAACTCCTGAATGGAAAAGGTCTGATGATCTTAACCGCGAAGCCGTTGCTCTGTGTCGTCGTGCAGTGCAAGAAAACAATCAGAAGGAGGAGATGTCAAATGATGATATTTTAGAGGATGAAATACCCTATAATCAGGAGGTGTCTTACCAGAATTTTTTTTTATGATATGCTGAATATTAAGGGAGGAAGAGAATATATGTATTTCCCTGGCTCGCACCCTGTGTCTTTAGACAGGGAGCAGCTGCAACTCTTGAGGCAGCGGTACTATTACGCGACGTGGAAGGCAGACGGAACTCGGTACATGATGCTCTTGACTAGAGAAGGGTGTTATCTGGTGGATAGGAATTTTAGATTTAGAAGGGTACAAATGAGGTTCCCTTGTAGTGATTATCATCAAGGAGCACGTTGCTTGATGGAGAGATGGTTGTAGATACATTTCTGGATGGAAAAAGGCGGCGCCAGGTGAGGAGGTACCTCGTGTATGATTTGGTGGCAGTCAATGGGAAATCAGTCACAGAGCTGCCTTTCAGTAAAATATTGGATATTCTCAATAAACAGGTGATCAGACCCCGCAATGATGAGAAGAAAGTCACAAGTCATTGGTACAGGTACGAGATGGAGCCTTTTGGGGTACGGATAAAGGCTTTTTTTCTACTATCTGCTCTTGAGAAGGTTTTCAAGGACTTGATTCCCTCGATTTCGCATGAAGCAGACGGCCTAATTCTTCAAGGGTGGGACGATCCTTATGTTCCGCAAGCCAATTATGATCTACTTAAGTGGAAGTATCCAGAAAAGAATACGGATGACTTTCTGTTGGAAATGAGCAAGGATGGCCGCCGAATGCTTTTCTTGTATGAAAATAAGAAGAAGAAGCTTATGGAAGGCTATTCGGTTGAGTTTAGAGGTGATAGTTGGAACAACCAGTCCAATTACTGTGGGAAGATTGTAGAGTGTTCATGGGATAGGGAGAAGAAAGTATGGGTCGGCATGCGGATTGAGTTGACAAAAATACACCGAATGGCATAAAAACCGCTCTCAGTGTGATAAAAAGCATAAATGACAACAAGGTTTTGCTGAAGGAGATCAAAGAGATTATCCGTCTTCCAATGTACGCCGAGCGGATTCAAAAGGACAGCTGAACGCTGCAGGCATGGAAACCGCCAAGCCTGATGAAGTAACCATTTTTTTTGTCGACCATTGTTTGTTTCGGTTTGTAAATATATTAGTCAACTAAGAAACAGATAATAATTCGGTTTCGAAATGTAACAAACAAATAAATTGCTCTTCAGTGTAAAAGAAGTTATTAGAAACTAGAGTACGATTTTTTAAGGGTATCTACTACTGCTAAAGAACTAAAAGGGTATACTAAACGACTCTCAGTATGTGATTCGAAAGTGAAAACACAAAAAAATAGCGTCTATAGAAAAGCCATAACACCCCAAAACTGCATATAGAGTAACATTGAAAAAAACCATTTGCCTGCGATCAAAGTTTCAAGCTTCTTAATGCGGAAGAGATGAGCTGGAGTTTGGCAGGAGCTTTTTGCTTGTATTCTTTCTCTATTGCAGCTGCAGCTAAAGAGTGTAGCTCTGGGGCCGCTGCTGTTGCGTCTCTATCTTCTTTGTTCCTGCCTTTTGAGAGCTGTGCAATGGCGGATGCACACTAAAAGAGGATAAAGTGGACTTGGTGATTTGTAAATAGAGGAGATCTGTGAAAATTACAATAGAAGAGGAGAAGGACTTACCAAACAGATTCCGAGAAGAGCTCTGGTGTTTTTGCCGCCTGTTAAGTCTATGGTGGCTGCATAGTATTTTCTTGCTGATATAACGTTTTCTAGTCCACCAATTGTGTAGAGAACCTAGTTTGAAATTGTACACAAACGAAAGAGCGTAAAGAAAAAGAACTACTAATTCAAACTTTATCAAATGTGGTCCCTTTGAGGAAGTTGAACTTACATCCGCATATGCTAGGTGGTACAACGGAACGGTTGGCTGAGATAGTATGAGCTCTTCGTAGCAGAAAGCTGCTTGTTTGTACCTGTAACCGAGACATAAACCATTAATTGGTTAGAAATACTGAGATAATCTGAAATAAAAACTCATGATGTTACTAGTTATGTAAGCCGTTCCTGCAAAATAATTTGGAGAGGAGAGGATAGAAAGAGGTTTACATTTGCAAGGAAAGATAAATCTCTGCAAGTTCTCTCCATGCATCATGATCAGCCATGAATCTATATACAAGAAAGAACGATGAAGTGATCTCATCTGGTGGCTTTCCTCTATAGACTAATGGGGATAAGTAAGCACTCACAATTCAAGATATTTGCTAAGAAGCTCAATGGCTAAGGAAGGCTTTCCTAATGCCTTGGTTATAGCCACTCTTCGTTTGTGTATTGCCTGTATGAGAGATATTTACGTTGTATATACAGAACTATACAAATTGTGGGTAGTTTCATCAAGGAAAAGGTGTGCAAACTTACTTGGTCAAGTGGATTATCCTCCAAAAGGCTCGAATAGGCTTCCTCAGCCTCTCCCCATAATCCCTTCGCTTCAAGCAGCAACGCCTCCAGCTTCCCTGAAATTTCCAAAATGAGGCTTAGACTGGGATCAATGTAAATTACACTCGAAAGAGTCTATCAATTTCAAATAACCAAAAGGCCAAAACCCATGAATACGGACATTTACATTCAAAAGACCGGAACAATGGCTAAACAGACAATAACTAGTCAGTACAAACATGTGATTAGCTAAATTGACATAGCTGACTTAACTGGTATACTTCAAATTTGATAAATTCTGTTTAATTTCAGAAGGGAACAAGTATAAGAGAAGAAATGGAAAGGAGACGATGTTTTACATTCTTGGTCAGGAACCTAGTTATCAATACATGAATCATCTGTGCTAGAAAGCCTATAGCGTAGAGAAGAAAAAACTATGATATTGTTCGTTGTGTCATTGCTGTTATATTTACTTACCAACCCTTTTGCTTTCAGGAAATTTCTTCTGCAAAGCCTTAATGCAATTCTGCAAAATAATCCAAAAGTGATCTCATTGTGAGTATCAACATTGATTTCCCACAAGCTGAAAGAAGCGTGAGAT